TTCCTTGCTCACACAATAAATGTTAATGGTAAGTGGCATCGCACAGTTAGCATGGGCCCTGGCACAAGGAATTAAATGGGGCCTCCATTGTTCAATTCTTTGTAGTCCACTCCCTGGACCCCTCTGGCCCATGGGCCCGGCGCAATTATACTCCGTGCACACCCGAAAGCTACACCACTGCCTTTGCTTGGTTACACGAAAAATTCCAGTTATTCCCCCCCCGCCGCCCGCTCGCCCCTTCTTAACTTGTTCTCCTGCAATTAAACAATGAGAGAGCGGCCACTCCAGGTGTGCAAGTGCAACCGACTCCTTGCCCTCACGGAGGTTTCAACCTCTGCAACATGTCACCGATTTGTTACTGTGCGGTGCCACCACGCCGCTATATTTACTCACCCTTGTCTAAACAAGTTGTGAACATCGGCGCCCGAGTGATGACACAAGGCTCCACGACATCGCGTCCCACTGTGACGCGTCACGCTCGCCACGGAGCAAAGCTATGGGCTATGTTGACGTGAGAGAGATATGGGAATGAGGCATAGTGGCTGCTAATTTGTTATTTTGCTTAAATTCCCCACAACGATGCTCGTGATTATTTTTTGGTAAAGACTAAGTTCTTAAGAAAACCCAATAATTAGTCATTCTGACACACAGGTGTAAGTAATTATATGAATAATATCTGCGAATTTGGCATTGACATATTACCACTGATATTCCATATATAACATGGAAAGCAGAGAAATTATAATAATACACATATTTAATAAACTATCCTGCATGTCTGATTACTACATCATTTGAAACCATCGACATGACGTATAAATACATATACTGATTAACAGGGTTATCTAGGTACTGTGCTGGTCCATTACATTCCTTTACAAAGATATCAAATTTATATCAAACTATAGTAAAATAATTACATTACTATCCACCACACTCAAACTCGTTTAACTTCAAATGTTCCTTATTTTCTTGTAATTGTGAATAGTAACTGGTTATCTAAATACACTGCCACAGATGAGTGTTGCTTGTGTATGCACAGCCCAAATCCACTGCTGGATGAGGGCCTCCCCACACCATGCGAGTCATGGGGGCTATCTGACCATATTTCACCACGCTGGTCAGTGCCCGTCAGCACATAAATACACTACATCATTGGATTTTGGCGCACTGCCCTCTACTCCCCGCAGCCTTTAATACATCGTATGCATGGTGGCCACCCCCATTAGCACTATCCAGCCTGTAACCTGCTTAGCTTGCAAGATCACTCCAGCTGAGTTGATCGTAAGCAATGGAAAGTTTAGTAACGTCGCTGAGCGTTGTGAACGCAGGCGAGGCACACTGAGATGCACGCTGAGCCATTTACCAAAGGCAAAGTTCTGTCTTAGGTTATCAAACAAATTCCCTCGTTTGCAATCCTGACACGGTGAAGGCAAAGCCACACCGTGTAACTCCGTAAACCGGTGGAGTCACGTTTAGAAACCAGCAAACCAGCAGGGTGGCTGATTCTTTGGCTCTGTGCCCTCAACATAATAGCGTGGCTGGTATGACAGAGATTAAGTACCAAGGAACAAGTATAAAGCGTGGGCTCGAGACTATAACAAGAGACCCGACGATTACAATAATCAATCCATTCGTTAAATATAAATATGAAATCAATTTTGTGGTTATTGCCCGACCTCCCTCATGTAACAATAATGTAAACCAGAACTATTGTAGTAAATCCTTGAGCAAAAATAATAATTTTCTTGTCCTATTACTGGCCCTGCTGTGAAATGAGCAAGGCTTGAATTGATACGTAGAAAATGTACGCAAGATACACATTATTACAAGGACTCTGCATTTTCTGTTAACTGAACACATTCATACAACAATAGTCCTGACTTCACATATTAAATAGAGTTGAAATAGATTTTTTTTAACATTCATACTTTTAACATATAGTTTGAATTTCAGTTATAATATACACAGTACATATATGTGTGACCATGCCTACTTGAAAAATATTACAACAAATTCTATAAATCTGTACTTTCTTGCCTTTTGCTAAGCATTGTGCCTTTAAATAATTCAGTCCACGAAATAGCATTCAGTTTGTTAAGACAAAACATTATGTGAAAAATATTATTAAAACATTTTTTTTTAGCTAAAATAAGTCTGAGCAGCAGGGTGCAATGTGCATGAGCCAGTACGGCCACGCCAGTAATGACTCTCACGAAAGCAATACTTTGTCGTGGCGTTTTTAACGGCATATACTCAGCTAAACCTGGAAGGGAGATTGTCTGGGATTAGCACCGTGGAAAAGAACCAGAGAGCAACTTCGACTGCTCCGCCAGTGACGAACTAAACCACCTCATTGCCCAACTCAGTGGGGTCTTCGTTTTCTCCACTCGGGTTCTCCTTGGCTTCACTGCTCACTGCCATGCTCACATCAGGCTTAGATTGAGTCTGATGGGTTAATGGTTTTTCGCACTAATTACACACAGAGTGCTTGCCACAAATGAACCGCAATACCTCGCTGATCTTGTCGAGGAGCATGACCCATCACGCGAACTCGCTTTTGGCTGCCCATCGAACAAAGACGGTGGTCGCTTGCATCGCACGCTTTCAGATGCGCGTCTGCGGCCGTCTGGAACGCTTTTCCGACATTACGAAGCCACTTGAACAATGCATTTTAAAATCTAGATTAAAAACTAATTGCTTTAGAGCTACTTTTTGTGTTTAGTTTGGTGTCCTTCCCCCGCACCCCCGATGAGCACGGTTGGCTATGTACGGTGCGAAAGAAGTTCAACATTCATACGTACATGCATTGCCGAAATTATTTGTTTTTGACACCAAGATCTACGTTTTGATACAAATTTGAATTTCGAAACAAAATAGCCATTTTTTATATAAACAGCCTATTTGATAACATAAAAAAGAACGATTGTATGGTTTCAAAAATGTGAATAAATATTAGAAGGCAATCTTGCAGGGCTAACAAGGAATTTTACATTATTTCTCAAACGTTACAGAGTGATCAATTTAATCTTTGCAGCGCATTTGTATCGCTACAACTTTATAAAAACGGCCACCTGTGCTGCCAAACTAACATATATTACCCTGCCTTTTCTCGCATCCGGTGTAAACCAGCCCGTTGCACTCGCATGCCTCTTGTGAGTAAGCAGCGCCCTGCGCTCCTCGGCGTGGTGATAAAGTAGCCAAGCTCCTTTTACAACCACCGACGCTGCTCTGCCTTCCCTGTGCCACTGCACAGAGAGGGCTTTAAATTCCCAGCTCGGAGGTTGCGCTCCAGGGTAGATGCACCCACATCCTGCTCCACAGAGTGGCTGAGCATAGAACACAAGTGGATATGCAGGTTTTGCCACGTGCCGCGTGCGGTGCGAGCTGTATTTATACGATTACAAGTGCTATAAACAAATAAATAAGAAAAAATAAAACATGAAATAAGCAACATCAAACCCCGCATTCGAGCTGAAGATTTTCCCCCCCTAACTTTATTTTCGGACATTTTCCCAGAAGTTTAGGAATCCAATTGCAGGAAAAGAGTGATTTATATATTTTGGTTACTGTAAACATTCTTTATTTATCTTCCACACTTGGGAGACGTTACGGTCTGACAGATATAAAGAGGACCTTTCAACTTCAAAAATCTAAGAGCACTTTGCAAGCCTATTTCTGTTCTAAAGTTTATTTGGTGTTAATATTGTGGCAAAAAATACTTTGGCGTTTTAAAAGCAAAAAACATTAATCCTGAGGATATTTTTAAAAGTAAAGTTGATTTAAACTATGGCACTTATATTATGACAGCAATTGATTTAGCGTGACCCGTAAAGCCACTAGAGCAGGGAACATCTCAATGAACGCTCACCTGTTTAAATAAAGGACATCGATCAATCAACCCGTCAGTCACCCCGCAAGTTCCACCAAAGCACGAGTGAACACAGTTCCACCATAGGAATGCAGTGTGTGGGGTCCACTATGTAGCAACAATGCGAGGCAAGTAATTCCGTAAGCCAACCAAGTCAGGCGAAAATTCTCACTCAATAGAAATGATGAACGGAAGAATGCACCACAAGATGTTTATGTAGGGAAACAATAAAATAATAAAAAATATAAAACAATATTATTTTATATATATTTTTATTGTATTGTTTCCCTTCTACGTGGCTTTACCGAAAGAACTAAGAACATGAATCCCTGCAATCACGAAAGCTTTAAATCAAAATGTTTATATAGCTGTCACTGAAAGATGCAGTCACTGCGTTCGCGGTTTTTTTTACGGCTGCGTCTGAGTTTTTTTTAAATTTAGTTTTCCTGAACTGCACCGCATGCCACATGCACAGCATCAGCTGATGATACTTCAAAAAACTCATCCCAATTGCTCTGATAGAGCGAACGCAACGGCCATAAACTTTTTCCACATTAACTTTTTCACTCCCCAAATAAGCATCGGTCGTCACAATTTTACATCCACTCATTTAAACTCGGACAATACGCCGTAACATTTTGACACAGACCGCGATGTTCGTGCTACATTTTACTAAAGCCCTCCCAAGTGCCTGATGCATTCAGAGACGCCACCACGCGTGAACTATGCAGTGCGGACAAAGGAATACGTACACCCGTGGTATTTTTTAGACACACGGTGGCTTTGTTCCCATGACCAGACTGCCCTCTGTGCATGCCACAATTAACGCTCACAATCGCCCCACCGAGCAGGAAACCATTCAACTGTAGGGCTCGTGGCAACATTTGCCAGTTTGCACGAACATCGGCATCTCCCACGCATCGCTTGTCACGAGAAGATGCGTAATTGCACGAAAAATCTGCACGTTGGCGGGTGAATTAAAATGAACAAAACAAAACGTTCGTTTAACGCAAAGCTGTCGCCCCCTTCTGCAGTGGCAGTGCCACTTTAACCGAGTACAAAGTGCTCGAAGGGGACCGACACCTGGAGGCAGGCTCCAGGCTGGAGTGCGAAGGCCATCGTCACTTACAGAGGTCGTCCTGCTGGCACCTGACGACCGTCACCGCCGCTAGCAGCAGCACCACTCCCAATTGCCGTATATCCACAGAGCTGAACATGTCTACACCGACATGCAGACTCTTTGTCACGCCAACAAAGTGTAGTCCTTGCAAACTACCGAGGAGTCATATGTTTGGGGTCGGACCGTCTGCCAGCAGGTTCTCCCTAGCAGAATGAATACCAAGGCTTGCCTTGCGCAGGGCTGCACCACACCGCTTTAACAGCCGGGTAAAGTATTCCTCAGCAAGACCCCCAACATGGCTGTAATCCGATCCTTTCAGCGGGCCACTTAAATTTTACCCTCCTCATTACCGCCCGGTCCCAGCTTTAGCGAATTATTCCGCTCAGCGGCTCGGCCAGCGAATCAGAGAGGGCAGCGGACGCGTGCATATAACGGGAGGACGGCCCAAGGAGCACCGCGACTCCTCCCCGCTCTCAGGAGTCTTATTATACGTCTGCTGCCCAAACTGCATTCTCTAACGTTCTTGAAAAAAAAAAACACACTATTAAAATAAAACAGAAACGACCTACTTTGAGGTTTCAAATCTTTTTTTTTTAATGAAAGTTACGGAGTAAGGAAAAACTTTAGGCATTTTTACTTTTTTTTATATACCATGTTTTCATGGACAATTGACAGTTTCGTGAATGTGCAACACATGGTACAGTACTTGATTTTACTTTTGTGTAGAATTTTTTTTTTAAATGAAAGTGACATGTGACAACGAAACTTAAGGGACAGGGAGTTTCAATGGCATAACTTTTCACCATGAGTTAGCCACCAGACCAGCAAACATCGTAGGTGGACCTAGCACCTTTCAAATATTGCACAAATTTCTCATGACAAGTCTGCTTCAATTACTTTAGCATATCATTTTCCACAAATCTGCTACCGCCGGTTTTCTAAAGTTTTATATCCTTACCACCGCAGCAGAAAGATCCACCCATGCTAAATTGGTGTTGACTCACTCTGCAGAGGTAATTAAGCAGTGCATTTCCTGCATTGCAAACTCCCTAGACTCACCCATCGCTCCCCATCGGCCCAGGCAACACATGGTGTGGGAAAACAGAGCTGCATTTACCTGATGCCTGAAGCATCTCATACGTGCACGAGCCACTTTCCTTCTCTAAGCCATTCCACGATTCAACTGTTGGAATTTTTTTTAACAGCTTCTAACAGCCGCCAATCTTACATCGAGGGAGAAACTGAGCTGCTCCATTCAGTTCCTACAAGAAGCTCCCAACACATGTAGTGAAACGTCGGACGGCACGTGGTACCAATCTAAAGAAGAAAAAAAAACAACCCCACATCGCCATCCGTGCTCACTGTTTCCCCCGTTCGGGAACATGCAGTGGGTTTGTACGCGGCACCGGAGGTGTGACGCGCGAAGGAGGGAGCCTGCGGATCCTCACCGCTCGGCGAGACCGTGTGGGCCTCTGCCGCCTGCCAGGAACTCCTCTTCCGCCGCTCGGCGCTGCCCCGAAGCAGCCTCCCACGTGGCACGGGAATTCCGGCATCAAAAGATGCCACGTGGCGGATCGAACGACCTGCGCCCCCAGCACAATTCACGAATCTCGTCGGGGTTAGATTCGCAACACGTCCTGCTCAACCACCGAATGCGTGGCGTGCTGTGTTTGACGCACTACAGGCATCGCGGCGATGGGGAATGGAGCAATGGTTCGCGCACCGCGCAATGAACGTGGAGATATACGTTCAATTCCTCACCGCAGCTAATATTAGTGACATATAATCCTATCCAGACTACCCCACCCCGCCTCAACCCATTCTGCAACATGCACCGACCGGCATGGTGAAGTATAGTCCAAAAAAACCCCATGAATGACATGGGAGTGGGAACATCGTCACCCAGGAGTGGATTGACAATGGATTGTAACTTATAATTCTAATAGCATTTGAAGCTTAGTTATAGTAGGGCGTGAAAAACGTCTGATAACACGCTGCTGGACACAAGCACGGAAGCAATTTGTCTGTACTGCGGCCAGACTTATCTGGTTCCAGAAGTCGAATTTAGTTTAATGTGCTGCCGAAACCTGCAAGGTTAGAGTTGGAAATGTTTTCCGGGTCCTCTGACCAAAAATATATAAAACCCTGGCCTGTTTCATGCACGCGGAGGCCAGGGCATCTGGAGATATGGTCTTGGATGTGGCATTACTAGGAAGTGGCAGGCTATGTGCATCTGGGATCTCAAGACTTTTAAAGTGACATCCCCATACATGCCTCAGCGCTCGTGTTCCATAGAGTTCACGTCGTATGTGCATGCATTAAGGTAAAGCGATGCTACACAAAGTATTTACAAAATACCATGCGGGTAATGACGAACGCAACCACTCGTGCTGAAATAAACCTGAACACCGATGTGGACACAATTCACCAGTATGACTTTTATTGAGCCGGTTTACTTCGGTAAATGGCTCGCCACTTAATTCAGGTAGCAAAGACATTATCTAGAGTTAGACTTTATGTCATCAGTGAATCCGCTCCACTGGCCAAGTCTATCCAATTTCACGCCACTCTTAGTGTCTCGTCTGTCATATACAAGTTCACTTTCAAATCCAAAGCAGTGCAGCTTGGTCGGTGAACTTACGCAAACTAAAAGAAAAGAGTGGTTGAAATCTGGACTAAGACAACGAAAATTGTGTCAGGAGGTAGATTTGTTTTGGCTCTGACTCTTGAATTCTATAACAAATGGAACTTTTGGCACGTGATTAAAATTTCCAAATTTAATTTCACAATCCATCGCTGTACGGCACTTCTTCTGAATTCCACAATAGTAAAGTATGGGGTATTTTTTTACAGCAATAATTGCAATAAATAGTTGGATTCATCAATTTTAATCTCTTTCCAAGTGCTTGTGTTGGCCCTGCTGGCAATTCTTCACGCGCAGGGAAGTCGGCATTCAAACTCCACTCTAACTTACAATCGCCCTTTTGTTGAATGCTACGTTTCCCCCCCTTTATTTCCGTGCTCGTATACTGCCGGGATTATCCTCACACAGCGTTTTTTTCCCGTTCAAATTTGCACTCAATATAATGCTGTATACAGCTTATTCAGCCTTGAAGTGTAATGTATGCATGAATCTAAAACGGACGAGTACACAGGCAAAATTATTTGTAAATTGAATTAATAATGAAACATAAAAAGTTAAAGGTGCAGCCCTGCATTTGTTTTCCCAACCCACTGCTGTCGGAAGGGCCTCCACTTGAGGAATAATAAGAATTAATAACCCTGTGTACCATTTTTTTCTTGGTCCTGGATAGTAAGTGTTATTTCCTAATTGCTTATGCCTCAAAAGTACAGAAAATGGCTATTATTCCCCACAAACTTTACTTTTGTGACCAGAACATTGATATTTTGTAATTTACATATTATCAATGAGAAAACGGGCGAATTTGTGTCTTTTAGTTCACATAAAGTCAGGAAAAAACAACATATGAATCAAAATTAACATGCATTTATACTAAAGTAATACAACATGACTGCAAAATAGAAGTGAGTATGGAAACAACACAGCAAGTTATGACTTAAACTGGTTGATGACGTCCTTCCAATGATTACCGTGTTCGTGAGCATAAGGCAGATTTGTAACACGGGAGGACCAACACTTCAGCCGTGGCTGACCATTGTTTTAATGCGGTTGGCTCACATGAAATAGATTTCTCTGAGACGAAGGAACTTTGCAAGCCCACTGGCTATCAATAAAGATTCGCCCATGAAGCCATCCATATATATACAGACACATACACAATTTCAACCGAGAGGATGGGTAAAAACTCAGCAATCATTGGAATGACGTCATTGCGGGAGTAACTGAAGAAACTATCCAGATGTTTGGAAAAACAAAACATCCGAGTAAGATTTGGCACGGTACATAAAATGCAGAAATTAATATCTGGTACAACAGATATATTACCGATATTATCATCAGAAGGTGTGTACAGGATTAACTGCATGTGTGGAAAATGTTACGTTGGGCAAACAGGACGAATGATCAGCACGAGACTAAAAGAACATGAGAGAAATATTAAATACTCCCAAATACAACTGTCAGCAGTAGCAGAACACGCATGCCAACAAGGACACTCAATTGATTTTGATAACATTGAAGTTATGTGCAAAACTAGCTACTACTGGCCAAGACTAATAAGATAATCTATCGAAATTGAAAAAAATATAAATAATTTTAACTGTTCGGATAGCTACCGCCTTAGTGCTGCATGGAAGTGAAATGCATGCCTTTAAAGGGCACCATACTTTAAAAGGGATTACTGTTGGTACGGCTATTTTAATAAACATGTAGTGGGCCCAACTGAGTTGCAGACATACTTCTTAGAGGCAACACATTTATTTCACCAACACCAATACACAAAGGGGTAGCTGCCGATTTACCAGATAACAGCCTAGGGTGGTGGACCACCCGGCTAATGACAATAACACACTGGGAGTTAGCTACAATGGACCGGACCCCAACTCAGGTTCTGGACCACGTGTTGGAGACTCTTCTGAACATAGATTGTAGATCTTCAGATGACGGTAGCAACAACCAACCCCGGTCCCTGCGGGGACCCGGCTTATATGCTCCCGAGTCGGGGCCGGCTCCGCCCTTAAAGAAAGTACACCCCTTCGTCCTATCGTCTCTACCATTGACTCACCCACCTACAAACTGGCCCGATTTCTGTCTAAGATCTTACAACCATTCACTGTTAAGACCACCTCAGCTGTACTTAATTCAGCTCACTTGGTTTCATTAATTAGGGACATCTCACTGTCTCCAGGTGATTTGCTCGTTAGTTTCGAGGTAGTCTCTTTGTTTACCAAAGTTCCTGTATCTGACACCATTGCAATCATTTAAGATTTGGTTCAACAAGGACTGAATGCTGATGTACCGGCCCTGGTGAGACACTGCCTCACCAACACTCACATCACCTGGAATGGAACATTCTACAAACAAGTTGAAAGTACCCCAATGGGTTCTCTCTTATCTCCAGTTGTAGCCAAAGTTTTAATGGATAAATTTGAGACAGATACAATCCAAGCATCCACTCTATGTCCATCCTTGTGGAAGAGGCACGTAGATGACACGTTCGTCATCTGGCCACATGGCCGACCAGCTCTGAACAAATTCCTCAACCACATGAATTCCATACACCCAGCCATCAAATTCACCATGGAGGTGGAAAAGAATGGTAAGTTACTAAAACCAACCACCATTAACATGCTAATCTCTCATTAACATGCTAATTTTCACCTGTCAGC